GCTTGGGATGGATTAACTTCAAATGACAGCCAAAGAATACTTGTTCTTGGTGCTTCAAATAGGCCCTTTGACCTTGATGATGCTGTCATTCGCCGCATGCCAAGAAGGTACATTTTCTAGTACGAGCCAAAATATTCGTACATTTGTTGTTTATTCTTGAAGGGTGCATGTATTTTCATATATAAATGTGACATCTTTTTTTTTTTATATTTAAAAACACCCGCAGGGGATTAAAGCTGGATCCCAGCCTGTATATAGTCACGACCCTGAAAGGGCCAAAATAGTCCAAGTCTACATAAGTCCAGTAGAAAATCGAAAGGAAAAAAAAAAGAGAAAAGTAGAAAGACAACAACCAAAAGTTACCACTTCATCAGCGACAAATTGCGCATGTGTGATTATTTTCAATAAGTCCTTGGATAGTGAATTTTATTACTTATGCTTTATGAAGAATATGAAATGGCAGATATTTGGTGTTATTAAAAATGGAATCTTAATTATCTCTAGCTAGTCCTATTGTTGAAAGAATTCCTCTTTACTTAGAGGTAACTATTAGTGCATTGGAAAAAAGGAATGAATCAAAGTAACTAATCAGTTCATTAATATAATCAAGTTCCTAAAGGAAATTCAAAGAGTGGAACCGAAACAGTCAGTCACCATAGCTGATTGAATATGATTGCCTATTGAATAGTAAACTGGCCTCTGGCTAGTTTACTCACAAGCCCTACTCTTGAAGAATGTCGGAGAATTATCATCATATGTGACATTTGAAACGTGGTTGGTTTTTTCTAGATCTTCTCCAATTTTGTTTTTTAATTTAATGACATGATTGTTGAGCCTGACAGAAATATCCTTGATTGCTCCTCGTAGGATTCATGTTGACTTTCCAGACGTGAAAAGCAGATTGAAAATACTGGAGATACTTCTTTCCAAAGAGGCTCTGGAATCTGGGTTTGATATTAAAGAACTCGCAAAGGATACTGAAGGGTATTCCGGGAGCGACTTAAAGGTAAATGTACATCGAGTTTGCATTAATGGCTATAGATATTGTGATTCCTACTGATGTCTATGATTTGTGATTCTTTGTCTTTTTATTTTTTCGCAGAATTTGTGCGTGGCTGCTGCATATATACCCGTCCAAGAACTACTTGAACAAGAAAGCAAGGTAAACACTATAATGATCTTCTTAATTATCACTATTCTACTATACTTTTATTAAGATTCTATTTAATGGATAGTATATTACAGTTGAAATTATGGTTGGCTTCTTGAACAATGATACTATAATTAATCATGTCTGAAATTTTTGCTTTGCTTCAATGTTTTCTTCTCTTCTCCAGAACCTACCTGTCCAAGAATTCCTAGAAGAAGAAAGCAAGGTAATCATATTTTTTGAACCGACAGTATTTATCTTCTAATCCCGAGAATCACTTTTAATCATAATGTTCGCCCCTGCATTTGAATTTTGATCTCGCCAAAAGATTTTATGGGTCTAAAATGCAATTATTGCTTCATTAGGGACTTGTTTGTGATCCAGTTGACGTTGTTCCAAAGCTGAGGCCGCTTAAGCTCGATGATTTCATTCACTCAAAAGCCAAGGTAAATCCGTTAACCGTAACACAAAATAAATTCGTAGTGGTTTTTCATTTTATGTAAATTAAACAAAATATATATATACCTTCAGGTGAGACCATCAGTTTCCTATGACTCGACTAGCCTGAAGGAACTACAAGACTGGAACGATCAATATGGTGAGGGAGAAGGAACGAACAGGGCTTGTCTGAAAAATCTTGCTACGAATTCTTACGAGAGATCGTTTATTTCGGGGCTCGTCAGCCCCGACGAGATTAGAGTCGAGTTTAAGGATGTTGGTGCCCTTGAAGACGTGAAGAAGGTTTTGGAAGAAGTGGTGGTTCTTCCGTTGCGCAGGCCCGATCTTTTCTCCCACGGGAATTTGTTGCGGGTAGCTAGCTAAACTCTCTTCTTGATTTTATTTCACATTTCGCATTAAATCGGACGATTTTTCTCAACTCTGCAAATTATATGCATGCTGTTATGTTTTCTTAATATAAAAAGAAACCTCGTTGAATGTAAGGCTCACAATATTTCTTTTTTCAGCCTTGCAAAGGGATGCTGCTTTTTGGTCCCCCTGGAACTGGAAAAACACTTATAGCAAAGGCTCTGGCTACCGAAGCAGGGGCCCACTTCATCAATGTTACTCCTTCATCACTTACATCTAAGGTAGGAGAAGCAAACAAGTAATTATAAATGTCTTAGAACCGTTCTATACTTTAGTACTTGACTTATCCAACATAGTTGATTTTCCTTTTTTTTTTCTTTTGTTGTGCTTTTGGTGCAGTTGTATGGAGAAGAAGAAAAACTTGTGAGGGGACTATTCTCCTTGGCTGTCAAGCTGGCTCCTACAATTATTTTTATGGATGAGGTGGGTGGTATGGGAGCATTTTATTGGATTAATAAATTTGTACTCATCACTAGCCGTTCTAATAGATTATATAAAACCTTTATTTGATGGTTTTGTGTGCAGATTGATGCTTTGCTTGGTGCACGTGGTCAGCGTTATGAGCATGAGGCAACCAGAAAACTTCGGAATGAGTTTATGTCAGCTTGGGATGGATTAACTTCAAATGACAGCCAAAGAATACTTGTTCTTGGTGCTTCAAATAGGCCCTTTGACCTTGATGATGCTGTCATTCGCCGCATGCCAAGAAGGT